ACAGTATCCGTGAAGCAAATGGGGAAAAGTTGCTGCTGGGGTGAAGGTGGATCAACTGTCTGCTGAGTTTGAAAAGCCAGTTACAAGAACTATGAGAAGAACTCAGTGTGAAGCTATCCGGCTCAGGGAGGTTTTGAAAGAGCACTTTAACAGCGAGCCACAGTAATGTGTAGTGGTGTATTGTGTGCTCTAACTAGCCCTGCTTTTTAATGGCCTGTTGGGAACTGTGTGCACATCATTCTCCACCTGCTAAACCACTAGTTGAATCTATCTTTGGTGCTTGGTGAACGCAGCACTGACAACGCACCTATTAATTTTGTGGTGGTTGCTGTACATAGGAGTTGTATCAAAGTGTATAATCTCAAGTAGGTGGGTGCTTTCAACACCACCAGCCATTTTACAGCATGTTGGGAACTAATAAAAGTGAATTATTTCCCAAACAATAGAGTTTTACTGAGTGACAAAAACTGTTCAAAAAAAGTTGTGTACAACTTAAAAGAAAATACATTAAAACTTTAACAAATTTATGGAGTAGAGCTTAAAAAAGTTCATGTTTGTAACTCTGAACAAAGAATTATGTTTGTTCTTTCAAAAGTTTACAACTGAACACTGACTTTATATACCTTTGAAACTTCACTGTGGAGAAGAAAAATGCTGCTTTTAACCATCTGCTATTGCCTGATCATGTACTTCCAGTTCCAAACGAGGCGTGTGGTTGACTGGTGAGTTCATAACTCTGAGGTTCTACTGTACTTCCTGTCTACTCCAAGCCTAAGTACATCTGGAGTGCGTAGCCGGCATGGTCAGCTGGACAGTTGCACACAACAATGGAGAGCTGCTAGGTGTGCTCACCAAGCTGGATAACCAGGAAAAGGCATTTCAAAAGTGTGCAGGACTTTAAAGGGGGGTAGAGGGGCGTGCCTTCTGTAAGACCTCTGAGCAATGGAGTTCACAATTGTGACCAGTGTGTCAGGCATTATAGGATAGCTGCCAAAAGACTGTTCAGGTCAACGCAGGTATTACAGTATCTACAGAGGCATTTTGTCTAACTCAGTACATTGCCTATGTTAGTGTAATAGCGAGCTTACGTCAGTGGGAGACAAATTTAAGTGTAGACACATGCACAATTAAGTTGATGAAAGGGGACTTATGCTGACCTAACTGTAGTGTAGACCAGGCCTTAGAGATAGAAATAAATAAAACAGGATTTCCTCAGAATGCAAGAGGTTACGTGCAAGTCAGTAACCAATGGCCTTTCAAAGCTTCTTACATCTTTACATGCAGCCAAAATTGCTAACCCACACAGAAACATCACTGAGTTTCAGTTACGTTTGCTAAGTTTCTCCACTTCATAAAAACAAGTGCAAAAGAAATTTGAAGTTTCAGATTTACTTGTACAGGAGTTAGAGAATCCTCAGCTTATGAACATTACTGATCATTTATTGACGAGGGATAAACAATTTTTAATTGTAAATCATAGGACCAGAATTAAAACTGAGAAAAGTTAGTTGGTGTTTAAGGAATTTGCATTGGTTTATTTATGTATTGATATAACCCCTACCACCATAGAATCCAGGAACTCCCATTTACTAGCTATTTCTATTTTTAAATCCCTCTCTTACTTCCTTCCCAGCCTGTCAGAGAAAAAACTGGATTAATTTTGCATCTGTGCAGGTAGGTGGGTAAGTATCTGAGAATACGGTGTAGACATTATTGAGGGAAAGACAATTCAAAAGGACTGGAGGTCTGCCTTTACTCCTGTATTTAGTGAGGCCCGTGGTCATTCATCTCTCGTGAGAGGGAGCACCAAAGCCTACACCCAGCTTCTGTGAAAACGCCATCTCCTGTCTTATAAGCCTGAGTGTAAGGGTTCTGATGGAATGCACCTGTCAAGAGGGGACACAGACACAGAGGAAGAGGTGATCTCTTAGGTAGCCATGTCTAACCCCACAAAGGGCTTTGAATAGGAAGAGAGCTTGTATTGGACTGTATTCAATGGAGAGCTAGTGCAGAGAGTGGAAGGACCAGGGTGATGTGATCATGGCAGCCTGCACTGCTAAGCAGACAGGCTGCTGCAGTTCCAGTAGTCAAACCTGGAGGTCATAAGTGTGTGGATGACTGTGGCCAGATCCATGTCTGGTAGGATGGGGAGAAGTGGTCTGTTTGGCCATGGATACCAGATGTGCATTTTTTTGCTGCCATGATTGGTTCGATAATCCAGTAGCACTGACTGGTACAAAAGGACCCCAAGCCTATGGACTGCCTACCTGCTCTGAGGAAAGAAGTCATCAGTAGTGTGAAATATATATAAAAGAGACAAGCTCTTTGAAGTGTTTTCCTTTCCACTAACATCACCTCACTCTTGTCTGGGTTTAACTTTAGCCAGATGCTCTTCATCCACTTGTTGATTCAGGTAGACACCGAGAAAGCGATGTAACTGGATGTTGTGCGCATATTGTTGGCATTCAGCCCAGGTCATCTGGCTCTCCCAAGGCCTTTATACAGATGTAGAATAATAGAGAGAGAGAGGACTCATACTGATGGGACTGCATACATGAGAGGACTAGAGCTAACGAGGAACTCTTGTCCCCAACAACCCTTTGTGTTCAGTCTGAGGGCAAAGATATGAGCCATTATAGTGAGTTTTGATTCACCTGAAGCCTCTTGAAGGTGGCAGAGGGTGATTTGATAATAATCAATAATATAAAATGCTGCAGAGAGGTTGAGCAGGAAGAGTATGAACATACTTCCCTTGTCTAAGGACAGCAGGAAGTCATCCATTGGAGCAAAAAGTGCTCTCTCTCTACCATATCCTGGCCTGAAGCCTGACTAAGAGGAGTCCAGAGTCCTAGCAAAGATAGGCCTCAGATTGTGAGACACTGATCCTTAGTTCATGCAATAATTAGAACTGGTCATGTAACATTCACCTAACCTTGGACAAATATATTTGAAAGTGTCAGATTCAACAGATTCCTCCATTATTCACACAACTGTAGCGATCACTATATTCCTCCCCATTCCATTTTGCTCTAGATGTGATTTTAGCAGATAGTGACTCATGGGCTGCTGGAGTTGAGAGATTAATGCTTTACATCATTTGAATGCTGGGGTTTCAATTTCTCAGATGTCAGGCAGCACTGAATTTTAGTTCTGGTGGTTCTTGAAATGGTAGCAGCTAAATTCACATAATAAGTGAAAGGGGGCGTACATGGTAAGTGATCAGAGTGGGATTTTAAGGTCAAATATCTTTAAAATTTGAAGCAAACTGGCCTGGCCAATTTGCTTCAAATTTTATAAACAAATGAACATCCCTTGCCCTCCACACACCCTCCTCTGGCATGAAATTGAGTAGGAATGTTCTCAAGCCAAAATAAGATGAAAAAAAATTAAACAAAGTTACAGTATGTCAGGACTAGTATAGCACTCACAATAAAGTAGTATTTGCAACCCTAGTTACAGTCATACCATGGCTATTTGAATAATCAATAAAATTCTATATTTGCAGCAGAATAGACTATATCTCCAAGTAAAAATTTATTCCAAGCACACATTGTCTCATTGTGGGGTCAAATGGGTTGAAATTGATTTTAAAAGCAGTTTACAGTTGATTGTTCCCTCTCCCTTGAAACTCTCTGCTCCCCAAGCTTCAGAAACTGTACTCTCCCGAGGCCTGATTCAGCGCCATTAAGGGAACTTTTGCCATTGCTTTCAATGCACACAGGATCAAGCCCCCGGTTCTCATTCTATCCGACTACTCCTTTAACGTCCAATCCTGCATGTGGCTGAGCAGCTCCCTTGAAAGTGTTGACTATCCTTAACAATCATTAATTTTAAAAGGAGTTGAAGACATCCAGTGCTCTCCAGAGGTGTTCAGTCCCTTCCAAGATTAGGACCTTAGTACGTCCTGTGGGGGTACTTCTCCTCCCCCTTTCTGGTCTCTGGTGGTGCACCTCAGAACTCTATTCTTGGTCAACGTCTCCCTCTACATCCTGGCCTGGAGTGACCTCATCTGGTCACCTACCTCCATGCTGATGCTTCTCCGATATACCTCTCCATCCCTGACCCTGTCTGTCCATTCAGAATTGAATTTTTGACTTCCTCTTCAATCTCTGTCTGGATAACCCACGACAAACTTAGTAACAGGACTAAAACCACACATCCTTAAAAGAGAATTCTCCCCATCCTCTTTCTTGGTTACGAATGGTGACTCCAACATCCTTCAGGCTCATAACGTTGGTATGCTTACTTCCATTGACCTCCTTCCTCACTTCCTCCCATACAGTTACTAAATTAGGCAATCTCAACAGACTATGTGATAATATATGTTTTTCTAGCAGTAACATTTGTACAACAGGCCTCGCAAACTGACCTAATGAGAACAGGAAACGGGAAAGCTCTTTTTTGATTAAGGGCAGGCCTACACCTAAAATGCTGCAGCAGTTGCACTGCTGTAGCTCTACAGTGAAGACGCTACTATGCTCAGGGCCGGCTTTAGGGCGATTCACCCGATTCCCCCGAATCGGGCCCCACGCCCCTAAGAGGGCCCCGCAACGTCCATAAGGACCCTCCGCCGACGTGCCGCCGAAGGCCCCGGCCGCCAATTGAGCTGCTGCCGAAGTCCCGCCGCTGTCTTCAGCGGCAGCTCTTTCGAATCGGGCCCTGCAGTACCTAAAACTGGCCCTGACTATGCTGATGGGAGATCTTCCTCCATAGTTAATTCACCTCCATGAGAGGTGGTAGCTGTGTCAATGGGAGACACAGTGTTGTTTACACCGAGGATTAGGTCAGTATAACTGAGTCGCTCAGAGGTGTGGATTTTTCACACCCCTGAGCGACACAGTTATACCAAGGTAAGTTTGTAGTGTAGACCTGATCTAAGTCCGTCTCAGTCCATAAAAATTCAAACCACACTTTATTACATACTCATATCATTTGAAGAGAAGATATAAAAGCTTCCATTACATCTAATTACCATTATACATTTTAATAAAAAGACTTACCTTTTTGTCCATGACGACTGCTAAATTTATCTCCAATTTCTGGACGTCTAGTTTGTCTCAACAACATTTTGATCAAAAAAGCGTCCTCTGCATTTGAAGAGATCATTACTTTCTCAATATATGAATCAGTTGCACCTTTGTATCTAATAGAGAGACAAAAACACCTAGGGTGACCAGATAGAAAGTATGAAAAATCAGGACAGGGGGTGGGGGGATAATAGGCACCAATATAAGGAAAAGCCCCAAATAGCGGGACTGTCCCTATAAAATTGGGACATATGGTCACCCTAAAAACACCATTTAAATTTATATACACATAGAACCAAGTGGAAGTTATGAAGAGAAATTTATAGATCAGCAGGTTTCTGACTGTAAATGTAAATTTTGTGGGTGGTATGTATATGGAAGACCACTGAAGCAAAATTGTAATGTAGAATTCAAAAGATGGATGATTCCCGGAGAACAGAGGGATTAAAAACTCATAGCAAAAGAGCAAGAAGGTAGGATTAAGGTCAAATACAAGACTGCGGGCATAGTCTGATGGCCTCTTCCTGATAAAGTCTCTTTATATATTGTACATTGCTGGATTTTCCACAAGAATCAACAACTGCCCAAACCAAATTACAGATTTATATTTGCAATAAGGAAGTCAGGGAATAAATTGAGAGCAGAGAACAAAAATTAAGTCACCAATATCCCTCACTCAAATGTCAACTATTTCAAGTTGTGTTTGTTAAATAAATAATGAAAAAACAATAGACTATTTCCATTTTGCCCTGCACTATGCATAAGGAGAGTTGTATCAAATAACAGGTGCCAGTCGCAATGGATACTAGTACATGGGCAGAAATACTACATGATATATACTCCTGAGGGCATTCTACACCAAAAAATTAAAAACGGTGTCAAAAAAATTAAAATTATGCACACAATATTTTAAAGTAATGCAAAATTCTGCAAGTTTTATTTGTCAATAAATAAATGCAGAGGCTCCAGCATGCAGTGGGGAGCACAGGCCACTGGCTGCATGAAGGTGGGAGATCACCCTGCAACCCCACCACCCCTGGGACATGGACTCAGAGGTGAGACTGTACCTGACCCTGACACAGCACAAGACTGGGCCTGCCCCAGAAACATCTTGGGGCCTGCCCCTCTGCACCAGGTGTGGGGCAGGCATGCTCAGCCAGGCAGGATCCAAGTCTGAAGGGGCTCAGTGTAGGGGGGATCCAGGTGTGGGGTGAGAGGGCTGTGTGTGGGACAATCTGAGTGCAGGCAGCTCAGTGGGGGATCTAGGTGTGGGGGGATCTGGATGCACAGAGGCCCGTGGGGGAGAGAGGGTGTTCCAGGTGCAGTGGGAACGGGACTCTGCAGGGGTTTCCAGGTGAAGGTGGTTGGGGCTCAGCGAAAGGGTCCGGATATGGGGGTCTCAGCAGGGGAGTGGGACTTGGTGGGGATCTGGGTGCAGCTAGATAGGGGTCAGTGGCATGGGGTCTGGATGTGGAAGCTCAGGGTGGTGCAGGGAAGTGAGGGTCATCAGGTTGGGGGTTTGAGTGCAGGAAGCTTAATGGGGGGTGGTCTGGGTGCAGGGATGGGGGTCCAGAGGCAGGGGTTGAGGTTCAGCAGGGTGGGGTTCAGGTATAGAGGGCTAGGGGGGTACTGGGTATACAGGGTGAGGCTTGGCAGGGGTGTCTGGGTAGGGGGGGGGTCCAGATGCACAGGGGTTGGGTGGCTGGGAGAGCAACTCCCGGTACAGTGATCCCTCCCCCCACAACTGGGGAGTGATGGGTGAAGGAAGCAGGGGAGGATGCTGAGCTTCCTGCAGCTGGTGGAGGTTTCTGGGGGTGGGTCTGACACCAGTCCCAGCCACTCCTTGCAGGGGAAGAGGAAATCCCGTCCTCCCCTGCCTCCAGCCCAGCAGGGACTAGCAGCTGATCCCGGCTCAGGGTAGGAGCCACTGGCTGGGGTGTCCCCAGCCCCATGGTGATTTACCTCTCCACCGGCTGCTCTGGGCGCATGAAATGATGTACCTATGCAGCTAGGGAGTGGTGCATAACTGCTCTTGCAGCTTCCCTTTGCTTCCCTGTCAGAAAGTCATTTTTCTGCAGGGAAGCAAATAAATCTGCAGGGGATGTGAATTCTGTGCATGCACAGTGGCACAGAATTCCCCCAGGAGTAGATATATTAGTAAAATATGAGAGGTAGGACATTATAATTGAAATGAATCAAGGAACAAACTGTTTTTGAGTTTGGCTTATTCTTTTTTAAATGAAGAAACAACAGTGAGGGTCCTTTGCATATACTAACTGGGAAGCTGCTCCAGACATAAGGGGCAGTGGGGAAGAAAGAATCAAGGATAGAGAGAGAACGGCAGGGAGTGTAGAAGATGATGAATCAAAGATTTACTAGGACATGAACTATCGATTGCTTTGATGGTGCAACTTAAAGTTTACGTGGAAGGAGAATGCAGAGAGATTTGAGAAAAGTAGTTTGACATGGTAGAGCAGAGAGAAAAGGAGAATTGCTTTGGTGAAATACCAAATACCATCTGAATCATATAAGCTAACCTAAAAGGTCAACAGGACCTCTCAGCCACCTTGGGATTGAGGGTCTCCTCTTATGGTACACAGACATGCTAGTGTGCCTGTTTGCCTGCAGACTATAGGTTTTCAGACCCTTCTATGGGGAAACTGGCTGTCCTTCCCCATTCACTCACCTCCTGGGGGAGGATGACTAATTAGAGCTGCTACACAGGCTGACAGACAGCTCATTCTATCAGTCTGTGTAGCAGGCAGAGCACCGTCCCACACCGCCAACCTGGGTAAACAGAGGGTTGAACACTAGTAAAGCACTCACTCCTTTGCTCTCTGAAGTGGCTGGGGAGCAGCTGCTTCCTGCTCACTGTGCAGCTACCCATGTGAGCCCTGCCCTTGCATGTACCTCTAACCTCTCACACCAGTGTCCTCATATTCCTCTGTCACCCCCATGTCCCCAACCTGTGACTCTGCCCACCCCCGAACACTGAACCTTGGGGACCCAGCTCCTCCTCTTAGGGTGTCATCTGGGAGAGGCCCTGATGACCAACCCACCTTCTGTCAAAATCAATAGGGGTTAAGTGTCTAGGCGCTTTTGAAAAATCCCACGAGGTGCCTATCTGCATCTTTAGGCACCTAAAAATCTGTGAAAAGTCTGGCCCATGGTACTGAATCTAACTTCTAAGGAAATTTTATGCCTTTTACGTTTCCAGTGCTGAGCATCTGCTACCTGTCCTTCCTTTCCTCACTTGTAGATTTTAAAGTATGAGATTATAGTGTGACATACGTTACTGGTACATCTTTATACTGTGGCTGTTGAGGAACATTACTTCCTTCCAGAGGAGTCTGGGTCACAGTCGGCATTGACTTGTTCACAAGCACTTGTTTGTTTTCTACCTTTTCACCTAACAATAGAAAATAAATAAACAAATAAATAATAAATAAAACAAAAAAACCCACAAGCATCATGCTAGTATTTTTGACCTTCTACATATATTCAGAAATACATTTTATAACATTTAAAATGACAAGTACACTGGGAAAGGATGAATTGAGCAAGGTGCACAGGAAATGAGGTCTGTTATATTTGTAATGCATTGGCGTAAGAGACATATCCTAATAGAGGAATCAAACTAGGACCTACCAAAAAAGGAACTCAAGTTGATTTTAAGTTGATAACCACTTAACATGTCAGGGTATTAGGGACACAAGAAAATATCTAAGATGATCTGGTGGGAATCCTCCATTAAAACACTGCAACTCCTCTACACCTGTATTTCTTTTTTATATTAGCAGGAGTAAAACTGATATGTTTTGGTAGCTGATCTCCGTACTTTGGACACTTGCATAATTCTCTAAAGAAAATTACATATGACGACACCACTGTTACCTTCTCCCCGCCCCCTCTGCCTTTACCTGCTTCTTCCTGTTCCTTCCACTCTTTCACTCACTTACTTTAAAAAAGAACAACCAAGTTTGCAGCATGCCCATTGGCAGGCATCAATGTTTTAGCCCTCATCTGCACTGAAGCTCAATTAATGTTTGTTGACTGTTCAGGCTAAATTAGTTTAAACTGGATTTGGCTAGCCATTATAGACAAGGCTTTACATTTGGAGCCAGCTACAATCCTCTCTATCCCAATACTTTTAAGTTACCAGGGAAAGCAGGAACATTTTGAGAGCTTAAAAATATTCCAATGCCCTTAAAAAGAATAACTGGTTCATTTTTAGAATAAAATTTCCTTCAGGGCTTCAGTGCTGAAATTAAATGTAGTGGCCTTTATAGTTGTTCTACCATTGGATCCCAACAGACTTTTAGGCTACTTCCTAACTAAAAGATCCCCCAATATTGGCTGGACCAGTCTTATATAGGTATACGTATCTGCATTGTTAATTATAAGGGTATATTTAACCTTTTCCCACTCTGTCCTGCCAAAACATACTTTTAGAGAGTTAAAAGGAGTCTCTTTTCTCTCCCCAAGTATCCTTATTAATCGTTTGCAAATGTTGGTAGCTGTAGAGATGATACACGCAAAAATCATAAGGGATGCGTTTTAAATATATAGATCTGATGACAGAAGAGAGACTTAAATAGTAAAAGTTCAATAACATTCCAGATTAGAAGACTAGGAAAATTAAGAGGAAGAAAACAAGTAGTGAGAGATAATTGTTTTAACAATATAGTTTCATCATTTGCTAAGGTGTCAAAATACAGACATTTTTATTTAAAATTTAGAGCTTCATTTTCATCCTGCATATTAAAAAAAAATACAGTCACAGATACCAGCTTATTTTCTTAACTATAACCATTTCTGCTTTCTAATGTCCACTAAGAAGACATAGTACTCTAAGAAATATGAAATAATAAAAGCTCAGTGGTTTGAGCATTGGCCTGCTAAACCCAGGGTTATGAGTTCAATCCTTGAGGGGGCCACTTGGGGATCTGGGGCAAAATCAGTACTTGGTCCTGCTAGTGAAGGCAGGGGGCTGGACTCAATGATCTTTCAAGGTCCCTTCCAGTTCTAGGAGATAGGATATCTCCATTAATTTAATTTAATTTAAAAAAGCAATTTATAAAAAAAATGAATGCTAATTTCTCCTACCAAAGACAATTCAAATATCATTATTGGTAGAACGTTTTATATACCTGGAGAGCAAATACCATCAGCATCTAAAATTTCATGACGCCAAATTGGTTTACGTGTAGCTGCATCCAACATTGGACCCATCACTTTGTCGAATGTCTGATTTGTGTAGCGCTTCAGTGTACACTTGGCATTCTTATACACAAGACACCTTCCAAATCCTAAAATAGAACCTCTTTCAAATTAATAATGTACAGAAATTATTTTATAATCAAGCAGTTCTCAAAAGAAAATTAAAAATGGTTAATTTAGCTAAAAATACAGGAAACAAATGCATAATAGCTAAAACCCCAAAAAGGATTATTTTTAGAACACTTTCAGTATGTACAGCATTGTACAGAAGTCTTTGGCCTCAAGAAGCTGACAATTTAAAATCGGATCACACGCTATATTTTCAGATATATCAAAGGCATTTGACGATGATAGCCCAATTTTAAAGCTGTGCAGATTTAAAAGGAGAAGTTTGGCACATCTTTTCCTTTTCGTGGTTCTGACAGCTAAAGATTTTACTGAAAACTTTCAGTGGTAGCTGTTTGCTCAACAGTAAAGTGCCTATTTAGTGTTGTTTCATGTACTCCCCATGTTCTTTTTAAGTAAAAACAAACAAACAAACAAGGAAGTTTGAATTATACATGTCTCCACAAAAATGTTTTTAGATGAAAAACTGTGTGCTCTTTAGAAAACTTTTCCCAGGAGCAATAGCTGGCTTACAAATCTTGCCCGTCATTCCCATATTCAGAAATATAGTCAGCTAGGAGCAATGCCTTCTAGTAAACTTATATTTTATCTGAAGGATAGCTGTAGCCATTTACAGTACGTCTATATCATTAGATTATGTCAAGTAATTCCTGACAAGCATCACATGGTCTTTAGATTTCCCTGTAAATGTTACCAGTCTACCAGAAAGGAAAACATTCAGTTTTAAATCATGCCTGTTGTTGTTTCAGAAAGAAAGGCATAAATTAAGTGCGGCAGACATTAATGCCAAAGATACATGTCTAGGAATACTATTATTGCTGCCTAGCAACAAGCAGGAGGCGTGTTAAGGAAGGGGTAAAAAGGGAGACAGAATCAACTAATGGAAGAGTCTGGTTTTGGCCACCCGATACTAAAACTAACTCAATCAAAGTGAGAATTATTGTTGATTCTAAACAGTGCTGAAGAATATGTGCAAAACGAGTGACGTTTAAAAGCAGGCAGCAGTACAAATTTTACTTACACACTAATTGAAAGGTAACTATGTTTTTCCACTTAAAACAGACCGAACTATGTAGATTTTAAAGAGGACGTAGATATTTGTTTTTCTCCATTTTGTTTGCTGGCATTATTTTCCTCTAGCATTAAGTTCATAATGACATAAAACTACACATGCTCTCTTTTTCCTGCTGAATACATTCAAAAGTCTAATTTCATCTACCGCTTTCAATACTGGGGAAAATAATGAGACTTTTTTCTCTCTGTTAGGCTCAAACAAAGGCCCAGGTCACCATCTAAAAAGCAAGCCCCACACCAACAGATTATCTAACACATTAAACTTTATGCAAGACAAATATTTTTGAAAAAGGATAGCTTATCCTTTGTTATTCAAGGTCAAAAGTCAGTCATTTGTTTTCATCATACCTATACTCATAGTTAACAAGCATTTTGTGTAATTTCACCATAAATGCACCATGTTCAAGCACATATATATGTACACACAGACATCCCCCCCACTATATTTATAGAAAAAAAAGCATTTTACGAAGTTGATTTCCTAATTTTAAAAGTTTTAATCTTCATAATTTAGGCAATATTAATTCAATAAGCATGCAATGCTATAAAAACATAGGTTATTGTGCTTGCTTTACACACGTGACAAAGAATAGGCCCACTTGCTTCTTACCTCTGTCCAAGGAAGCCTTGTTTAAGACAAGAGCATCTTCAATATCATAACCACTGTAGCTCATCACAGCAACTGTGGCATTCTGTCCAGCTGGCAGTTTCTCAAACTCTATCAGTTCAATGGTTTTTGTTTTAACCATTGGCCTTTGTGGATATGCTAACAGATACATAAGAGTATCGATTCTGTTCCGTTGATTGTATCCAATGGTACCTGTATTTAAAAACAAAAGCAATACCATGAAAACTTCTATTTTACTACTTGAAATATTTTAGATGTTTACCAACATGTAAAATAACCAATTTCACAAATGAAGGTAACATATCTGGTAATGCAAGGTCTTTAGAAGAAACAGGAAAAAACCCCAGAAACCTTACAATTCATATTAGAGATTGTGCTGAAATAACTTCACATTTAAAAAAGAATTAAAATGGCTTTAAGATCCTCAAGAAAATCCTGATAAATTAAAAACAAACAAAAAATCAAAGCAAACAAAACAAAACAAAACAAAAGCCCCCAAACTAAACCCCAAGGTAAGGGACTGTTTTACTCTGAACTAGAGCAGGTTGGTAAACTTCTAGCCCTGAATAAGTTAACAAAAGCCAAGTTCATTTTCACGGTTTTCTGTTAATTCTTAATAATTGCAGTTGTTGAGAGAGGCTGTGGGCTTGATCCACAGCCCATCAAAATAAATGGAAAGACTCCCATTGACTTTGAAGGGGCTTTGGATCAGCATCTGGGCACTGCACATCATATTTACTTCCTTTTCTGGGTAATAATTAGTTCAACGGTCTGTGTTAGAATGTCAGAAAGCGTGAATAAAGCATGCAGTTAGCAGCAGCCAGGACAGATTTACTTTCTGAAGTTATCAGAGGAGTCACTGCTGGTAGGACTACAGTAGAAGTTCACCCTCCATCTATTTGTCTTTTTACATGAAATTACTTTTAAATTTACGGTTCAGAATTCAACACTTTGTATAGACCTCCCAGCTTGATACTGAGATTCTGGCCATTTCCCACCAGACTGCCAAAGTGTCTTCTGAAATCTGTGAAGAAAAAATAATTAATACCCAGCGGGGGAACGTAAACTGTTGTGTAGCAGAACAATAGTGAAAGCACTCATATGTTACTACTGTTTGCTGGGCGAGGCCCTGTGCTGTGTCTCCAGGTCATTTATAAATTATGATCTTAAAGAACTAACTTACAAAGTATGTTTAAAAACATTTAGCAGTTATGCCCCGGGGGCTAGGTTTTCAAAACATTTGCATTGCCTGCGGTTATTTCAAGGGCACTGGTTGCTACAGTTGGAAGAAATGCAACACAAAGATTTTGGGCTGCCAAACATTACACCAAAACACTATTATTAGGGTTATGACAAAAACATGCTTTATATACGAATACTTGCACTTTCTAAGTATCTGTATTTGAGAAAAATACTAAACCCCCCTCCAAAAACCACACCAATAAAACAAGTATCTAAAACGGCAACTGTCATAGTCAACTCCCAAGGTTTGCCCTCCCCTCGATGCTATACTGACTGTCACAAAACACTTCCAACACAGTCCCCTTCCCAAGGCAGAGGGAGGGACACAGAAATACTATAGCAGAAGATGGCAGCCCTCTTTGCTGGGTCCCACAAACTCTCCTGATTTCTTGCTCTTTCCTGGAGTCTGCAAAGTGGCTGTGAAGCTCTGGAGTGTCAATACTGAATAGCGTCCCAGAGTGCAAGTGGGGCCTTGGCACAGGTGATAAATGGCTTCATTGGCATCTTACTGGTGACCAATTTACTTTCTTCTTGGGGAGAAGAGTGATTCACCATTTGTTGGGGGAGTTTGGCAGAGGCTGTTCCTCCCTCCCTCAGTTTGCAATGGGAGGGGAAGGGAAGAACTGGATACTTCAGCATCACTTGCATCTTGGGTAAAGAATCAGGCCTGTCAGTTACCACCAGGGAATGATCCATACTCTGAAGTTCCTACCCACTGAGACAACTTTTCAGACAACTCCATCTTACTTCCCTACACTTTGAAAAACTGAAGTTTCTCCTACTGCAGAGCATGGGGATAATTTCCCCCAATGAAAGAAACTCAAAACTTTTCATGTTAATTTCCACCTCTGTCTGAATAATCTTTTTTTTCTAGGCCAAGCTGAATCTGTGGAGCTTATTACTCAAACAAATTAAGTTTTCAGGTGATCCTAAATGCAGTTCCTGATTCTTCAGTGGAAGTTGTTCCTGAATGAGAAATACACTTTTATCGTGGCTGTGAAACACATACAGATTGTTCCTCACCTCTACCTCCTAAGGGTTTTATGCTCTCTTGTTATGTTATATTATAAGTTATAGGCTATATCTGCTATGTTCCAGTGGCAAACCAGGGAAACCAAGAAAGAGGCCAAGGTTTATGGTGTTCAACCACAGCCCAACCACATACCTGCAATCTTAGTAATGTTCAGAGAGAAAATGCCTTGTTTTCTAAAGTTGTGAGTGACACCTTCACAAAACTTGGGAAATTCTAGTGGAAATTTACTGGGCATGAATATTATGGCTCTCTTTTGGAATGGATATTCCTTATCTTTAAAGTTGGTATTTCATCACACCAGAAGGTAATTTTAACTCGATTTTTTTTTTTTTGCTTACATCACATTTGATCAGGCATGAATGACAAATGAAATGGCAAAATGTTTGAACACCAATACGTGCGGTTAGCTTTCCCAGCCATGGATGCAATAGTACTCACAATAAAAATAAAGAAACAGGAAAAAAGCAACTAAGGGTGAGATGCCCCAGTAGGAATGTAATTGATTAGAGCACGACTCACTCAAGCATAAAAGTGAAATGTAAGCGTGCAATATATCAGCAGTAACCACCCTTAAAGGGTGCATCCTATACAAAAGGTAGCTCTCATTGAACTAGTGCAAATATATATAGATATATAGATATAGTACTGTAGCTGCAATAGCATGGGGAGTGACAGCATAGCTTACCTGTGCTGCATACAAACCCACCCGAACCCTATGGATATGTACTCACTGCTGCTGTCTGTGCTACTGTGGCTACACTACTATTTATTCTTGTGCTCTCTCTCACTGAGCTAGTGCAATCATGTGTATTGGAGCTGGGAATTACACCCCTGGCTCACAGTGCAGACAGTCCCCTGCCTTCCCTCCCCTGGCTGCCAAACCACTAGCCTCCTCTGTTTGTTTAAACCCCACCCAAAACTTACAGAGATAGGAGCTTTTTTTCCTCCCTGAGGTCTGCTATGTTGCAACAAGACCTCCATGCGGGTGTTGGAAAGAAGGGAGCCACTAACATTTATGTCTACTTTCTAAACGAACAGAGCTTTTGTTTGCTTCTCTCAAAAAGCCAAGCAAAGTAAAGCACAATGAACTTCAACAAATGTACAAAAAATAAACTATGTTTAAATATGAACCAAAGGGAGCATTTGTGTGGGTACCAAAAAAAGGGATTGCTGGTACTAATGTATTTCCATTTACTTCACAGCAAACTTTCCACTCCTTCCTTTCTGCAGGGGCACGGAGCTGATAGAACAGATAGAACACCTTTATGTAAAGGCTGCACTGAATCCTCGGGGGACAAGAGGACTGAGCTCATTGGGAATTTTACATGCTAGGTGTTCCCTGGCTGGGATAATTAGTATTTGAAAGATCCCTTTGGAAGAATGGGGGGAGAACCACAATCTGTTAGAGATTATGGGTAAATTGGGACAGAGCATGAAAGCCTGGCTCAATTTAGGCACTACTGTGCCTCCATCCATAGAGCGAAGAGCTGGTAAAAGAGAACGCACAGTATGTAGCACAAATGCTGTCCCTCGATGGCTGGTGGCAGAACCCAAGAATAGGTTGTACAGACCAGTAATAACCCACATTGGTTTTGCTTTTGTTTGTTTGTATTCTTCCCCCTTTGTCCCCCACCAATAAACTGTCTGTACAAAATGTTGAGACACATTACTTCTCAATACATTGAGAAATACACCTCTACCCCGATATAACATGAATTCGGATATAACTCGGTAAAGCAGTGCTCCGGGGAGGTGGGGCTGCGCACATCGGTGGATCAAAGCAAGTTCGATATAACGCGGTTTCACCTATACCGCGGTAAGATTTTTTGGCTCCCGAGGACAGCATTATATCGAGGTAGAGGTGTACATCACAGATGTTATCTTTAAAAAAAACAACAAACAAACAAACAAACAAACACACACTATTCCCAGAATTGCAATCTCCTTCCTCAGCCCATTTGTGAGAATTGGTACTAAATTTGCCCTGTAATATACCAGTCATCAGGGACCTCTACAGTTCTCTAGGAGCAACTGACAATATGCAGATGGCAACGGTTCTTAGTACTAGAAAAATTATCTGCAGACGTCTGAGTTGAAGTCATCTTTGTCCACTTTTTTTTATTATAGCCTTCATAGGGCAGAAGGCAATAACCAGGGCTGTAAAATTGTTTCCATTACAACCACGTATATTCTGACATTTGGACTGATAAAACATTACGTATCTTCAATGTGAGTAATAGTAGAATTATTAATATGCACATCTTGCTTTCCATATCCATATACACACAGAGAGAGACACTAATTATATATATAAAAAATGCAGTTGAATTAGTAGTAGAAAAACCTTGAGTGTTGCATTTCTGACTAAATTCTGTGTTTGTACAGCACCTAGCAAAACAGGGTCCTGGTCCATGACTGGGACTGCTGGGTGCTACTGCACAATAAATAAATAAA